ACCTTACGTGACCTACTGTGTGATTTTAACCTCTTAACATTCAGTATGCTTTACTGTAGTTTCCCCTTAAGTATTTTTAAGGTAAATTATTTTGACTGACAGTTTTAGCTCTTCATTTGAGCTATATTCAAACCTAAGACTCCATGTTCTTTATTCCAAATAGAAATACTTCATTGTGCATCATTTTATGCACATTTCTCCTCAGAATCTGCCTGACATATGTGGTATTTCTGGATTCTCTGCTGTAATTTAAAACGATCTTTAGTTGCACACAATGTGTTTAACTGCCCTCCTGATGTGGACAGTCGGACCGAAGGGGTTAAAAATGTAGCTGTAGTTAGCGAGGGGGAATGAAGCAGGGTAACATTTCACATTGAGCTGAGTTAAGTTAGATAAATGCAACACTGGCTCGTATGTTCATGCTGGCAGCGTGACCTGAGTTGTTGGATTTCATAAGTGAATCCTGTTATTAACCAGTTAGCTAACAACTCACATTAGTGGAGTTTTCAACAACATTTGGGTCAAGACAAACATTCCTCAGAAGTAGAAGGTCTCCGGAGAAAAGCCTGCAAACCACTGATGGACGCAGATTCAAGCAGAGTGGAGACAGAGGAGGGTGGTGTATGGTGGGATAAACAAGGCAGAATAAACAAGTGTGAGAAGCCAAGAAAAGACCGTTGAAGAGAACAAAACTGACACTTCGAGAAGGAGAGAAAACAAGCATGAGAGAAAATGTGTGAAGGAAATCTTACATGTGGATGCAGAGAGTGAGATTTTACATTTTGGGACTACAACCGGAGAAAGTGACAGCTTGTTTTCACACATACATATGTCTCCAATATGTTTGAAAAAAATCACCTGAAAAAAATACACAGACGGCTGAATGAAACACACATGAACACAGAGACAGACTGGGGAAGCTGGACAAACAGGAAGATGCTTTATGCAAGCAGCGCAAATGTAGGTCACTCAGTCACAGTTAGAAAACTTACAAAGAGACAGAAAGGAGACAAACTGTATTAGAGAAGGAGAGATAGAGGGCAGACGGGGAGCAGCGTCTCCTTCCCTTCCTGGCTCAACCTTTTATTTGTTGCTCTTCAGTATAATTACACTGCAGATTAGCAACAGCTCGCTGCAGTTGTATAAGGACTCTTGGAGGGTTGAAGGCCTACTTATGCCAATCCCAGCGCCTCTAAATATAGAGGTATAGAGGCTTTAATGAGACAAGCATATTGCATACTGTAAATACTCGTCATCAAAGGCTCTGCTTGGTGTCAAGGATCTATCCTGTCTATGCAAATAAGCACTCACCTTGATGATTCAGTACTGGTCGGGCTTCGTGGATTTTAAAGGTCCAGTGTGTAACATTTAGGAGGTTCTATTGACAGAAATAGTATATAATAATCATAGGTATGTTTGATGTGTGTATTCATATGAATATAGGAAACGTGTTTTTGTTACCTTAGAATGAGTCTTTTTTTAATCTACTGATGCCCTGGTTTGCCTTCCATGCAGTCTACCATGTTGAACCGCCATGTTTCTACAGTAGCCCAGGACAGACAAACAAAACACTGGCTGTAGATAGGGACTTTTTTTGGTTTTGACCACCATAGTTTTTCCTACACACTTCAAAGACTGTTCTCATTCCCAGGTCATCAAATACAGACACCAGCAGTGTTTACTGCAAGAAGGCACAAAATCCTACACACTGGTCCTTTAATTGACAATTCTTTTGAGAACAGATGAATCATTTTGAGTCATTTTTTAAGAGAAAATATTAAAATTCCCTGATTTCAGTTTAAAAAGTGTAAATACTTTTTGGTTTCTTCAGTCGTCTATGACAGCAAACTGAATATCTTTAGGTTGTGGACAAAACAAGACATCTAACAACGTCACCTTGTGCTTTGGGAAACGGTGGTCAACTTTTTTCACCATTTTCTGGCATTTTCTGAACCAAACAATCGATCAATAGAGAAAATAATTGACAGTTTAATCAAAAATGAAAATAATCATTGGTTCTTTTAAACAAACAACAGCCAAAGAGCATTATTTATTTTCTATTTTAATCTCTATTTGTGCTGGCTGTTGCTGCAATCATTTCGCAATTGGGGATTTCTCCCAGTAAATAGGGGAGATTATTCTTTTGATTCAAATTCAGAATATATATTATGGTTATATTCGGGAAATATTTCACTCTTAAAGTTTTGTACTTTGGACATGAGCTGGGAAAGTGTATCTCTACCCGTCCTCTCACATTGGGAGCAAAGTCTCTCCTCCTCTGGCAGCCAGTTCTGTATCAAGGATGCCTTCACTGACACTTGCTAATGTGAATTCTTTTTTGAGGGGAAGAATACGATTGAATTTGTCTTCAGCTGTAAATATGATAATGCCCTCATCGACTACACTGGTCAGTTTTTCCTGCAAGTCTCAACCAGCCGGTGTCGTCGCCATCGCCGTCGTGTTAATTGGAATTCATTGTCACACTGGAGATCAAATGGTCAGCTATAATGTCACTGGAAACAATGACAGTGTGAGAATCTGACCTCACCCGGCACAGGGTTCGTACACACAGGTCAACGAGGTCGGGTCAGTCAGACCAAACCTCAAAGCCCTGCAGAGTCTTTTCTGCTGCTGTGCTTCCTCTCCAGCTCTTCCTCTGCTTCCAGACAGCTGTTGTCACCATCTCATGTCTCATGTTTAAACAGTTTTTTTTTCAGTGAAAAATAAAAATTGTGATGCAAAACTGACCATTCCCACATGATTTTTTCCCCCTCGATTGTGCAGCCATGATTAATATTGTATTATCTAGTTAAACTGAAAAATTAGTTCTGTTGTTGATTCCTGATGATACAAAAACAAACCTCTGAAATTCACCATGATAATTGTCTTTATTAGGTAGTTACTCTTATATATATATATATGTACAATGGGTATCACATTCATGTTTTTTGCATTCATTTGAATGGGCAAGATATTTTAACTCCTATTTAAAGGTCCACTTTGTAACATTTAGGAGGATCTATTGGCATAAATGAAGTTGATTATTCATAGGTATTTTTTCATTATTGTATAATCACCTGGAAGTAGTAATTGTTGTGTTTTTGTTATCTTACAATGAACCATTTTTATCCATAGATGCTGTGAAATAAATAAATACTAGAATAAATAAGTTTCAAAATGCAGCACAGCAGCATTATTAGCTGTTTTGTTTGTCTGTCTTTTAAAGTTTCTCTTACTGATCCTAGCACTGTAAGTGGACATTAATACCCCCACCTCCTCTGCTTGTCTCCTCACCTCTGTGCTTGTGATTCCTGCCAAGTTGGTTGGTTATATAACCTGTAAATGAGAAGGTCAGCACCCAGCAGTCATCGCTATGGATACTTGGCACGGACTCACACACAGATCGCAAATCTTGGCTGGTCCAGTGTGTGTGTGTGTGTGTGTGTGTGTGTGTAATAGTGCATGTATCAGAAGTAGGGCAGCAGCGGTGTTACCTAACTCACCCAGAAAAGACATCTGGGGAGTTAAAAGCAGCCCTCTCACTGATTGCAGCTTCCTGTATGTGCACACACTCACACAGGCTATCAATCGTTCACATGCAAACATTCACTCATGCTGTACACACAAGTGATGCACACAAGCGCACACAAACATCTGGCTCAAACTCCAGGCCGCACACAAGGAGGAAGTCACATAGGCCTGCGTGAATGCCAGCACTCTGACTGTACAGGGGAATGCAGTCAAAGTGCTGCAAATCCGGTATCTTTACTTATATCTTATTATACATCCAGGGATTAAATTGTGGATGGGAAAATTAATCCTTTTATTTATTTATTCATTTGCCAAACAGTAATGCAATTTAAATATAATGGTAGCATGAAGCACTGGAACCAGCTTATACAATATTTACCAAGTGTTTAATTGTGGTTGCCAATAATTACCGGCTTCTCATGGCCGATAATTTCACATTTTTGTATTTTAATAATAAGTTCTAACCTGTAGTTTTTACACACGATAGAAAGATCTAGTGAGCATTATTGTATTATTTAATAATCCACTGCTCTGACCAAATCTGACATCACTATTGTTAACACAAAAAAACAAAACAAACAAACAGGTCTGACTCTTCAAATGTTCCCTTTATTTTCTTTATCAGCTAATCATAAATAAAATTTCATCGTGCATCCCTAGTTTTAATTTTAATTCTGTTCTTAATTTTTGTTTTTAATTCCAATTGGTTTTGAGTTATTTTCCAGAGTGGTTTGCTTGTTTTACTTGAGCTTTTATTGTTTCAAATTATTTTTAGTTGAGTTTTTAATAGCTCCAGCGTTAGTTTTTGTATTTTTACTATAATATGGGGGGTATTTGTCCAGTATAGGTGTTACAATACAAACACTTTGACATTTCAGTTCACTAAAATGTTTTTTCACACCTAGTTTTAGTTTTTAGTTAACAATAATAACTTTGTTGGACACCATACTGATATTATCACCATAAAATGTATTCTATTAAAAATCATTTTAACACATCACATTTACACACTTTCACACCCAAATTGCTGCACTCGGTTGTTTTATGCTGTAATAAAAATATAATTCTTTTATAACTCCACTGCAGAAACTCTGTGTGGACATACAAGCAGATAACATGAAAACACGGAAAAAAAAAAGATTTATTTTGTTCTTTACTGCACATTTTATGTACAAGACAAATGTTCAAAAGGCAATACAAAATACAAAAAACATATATAGCTACTGTGAGATAGATAGATTTAATTGATACAAAGAAAACGTTCAGCTGTGACACTTTCTTTCCTTTAGAAAACCAACATCTGAGGGGCTAACTAACAATATATTGATTTCTGTTTCATTTACAATGTAAAATGTTTCATGATCTGCAACATGCTGCCAACATAATGATGCATCAAACAGTTATAAAAACACATGAAAGTCCACGTGATGATAGATTTTCTTGATGTTCCTGAACAGATTCAGAAGGTTTGTCTTGTAGGATGCTGACAAATGTAGTTCAAAATATCAAGAAGAATTAAAAATATAATTTACATCGACAAACCTGGAACATATTGGACACACTCAGCGCTCTCTAACACAAAACACATCATTAGTTTAACGTCTGCGGATTATGTTACAAGAAATATTATTTGTCTAAAGAACCCGACACACAGACAGCAGTTGTGGATCAGCACATTTGACCAAGCTGCAGTTAGTTCAGCACATTTTTCTCCAGCTTAACTTGGATGTTATCCTGTTTTACTCTCTGGTCACAATATTTTCCACTTTCTCAAAATGCGAGCCTTAACACACACACACACACACACACACACCAACACAACACACCACACACACACACAGACAGAAATATTTACTTTTTATCCTCATTTGTAACCAACTTTCTGTGAATAAATCTTTATAAAATAATGTCTCCTTCTTCTCCTCCCTGAAATGTTTAGTGAAATCAAATGGAACCATAGACAAAAATGTATATTTACTGTTGTGAGACTACAGGTATTTTCTCTCATTCAGGCACCTTATAACACACTAAGACTGTTGAAAAAAAAAAATGGATCCACTTCAAGTAAGACGCGTTAACTTTTGGGGTCCTACCCTGTCATTTAGAAAACATGAATGTACAACATAAGGGCATAAAGAAAGAGCCTGTCTTTAGCTGTGATTGGAGGGTTTGTACCAATCCGAAGCCTTAAGCCAGGACAGAAACCAGGAAGTAAAAAAATAATAATAAAACAGGAGAAAACAGCAACTCTTTGTGTGCAAATGCATTGTGGTCCATCCAGACGCTCACTTGAAGCCGCTTTCAGATCTTTTCTGAGCCAGCTGGGGCCCACGTACTAGACCTCACTGCAACTTGCGCCCGTCACTGGACAATCTGGGGCATCTCGCTCCAAGCTTTGGCCTTCTTCTTGGCCAGGGCCATCCAGGGTGGCTCGTCCTGGGGTAACGCTGGGGTAGGCAGGCCTCGCTGGGAGGACGGGGTCTGGCTGGAAAGCCCTGGAGCTCTTGAACCAGACTTTTCCGGGGCGGTTCTCGATGAAAAAGGAGGGGAGGTAACTGTTGTGCTCTGGGGCTGGGGTGTCTTGGGTGAGGTGGCCGTTTTGGAGAGAGAAGGTGGGCTTGTGCAAGACGCAGGTTTCTGGGCGACAGGAACCGGAGTGGGGGGTGACAGGGATCTTTGGGGCGGGGGTTTCGCAGTGACAGGAGGAACCTGGGGTTTTGGAGGGACAGGGCAGGGGAGCGACTGGGATTTAGGAGGTTGAGATGGCACTGGAGTTGGAGGAGAGACAAGCCTCCTGGCCTCCTTTTCTATAGACACTGAAGACTTACTGATCTCTGGACTCACTGGAAGAAAAAAAGAAACGCGTTGAGCAAAACTTGCTGTGTGTTCATGCAGAGTGGCATTATTTTGATAAAATACTATATTCATATGAAAACACATTTTAATGTATTTGCAATGGGACTGAATAAAGGCTTTAAAATGTCTTCATGACGCTTTAATGTATCTTTAAGTTCTTTTTTTACAACATTGCAGTTTGCATAATAAAATAATATTCATTCTGCACATACATAAACTGTAGGAGAAGGTGAATGTCAAAAGTGAGAAAATGTGTTTTAGCTCAACTTAGATTTATGCAAATGTGATAAATATGCAGCAAACTGCGTACAATAATGCACGTAATGATATATGAATGGTATTAGTAGCATCGCCTTTGAGTTACAGGTGAGCAAAAGAGACGCATAAGAATAATAATAATAATAAGTCTTGCTGACGCACACACCAATTAATATTATGTAAAACAGCACAGTTCATTGGTCTGGTGATCTATTATAAAGAACAGGTGGATTGTTTTTTCTCTTTATAGAATATCCTGGACCAGCACTATTTTTCTAATCTGGGTTATGGAATTTGTATTTTTGTCCAATTGGCTTCACCACCTTCCTCCGCAATTAAAACAAATCTCACAGTTGTATTTCTGATAAATTATCACCTTTATCAGTAATTTCGGTGTGAGCTGTGATCAATTCAAACATTAAGTACCTCAGAGAACATGCAGTATAAATGTAAATGAGGCGAATTGATTTTTGTTGGGTCGGATGTAGTGGCAGAGTTTGTCCAGATGAGGGCAGCATTGCACCAGTCAAAACCTTTACTTATAGTTGCAGAACAAATAGTAGCTTTAGACTAAACTAAATAAAATAAACCCTGTTGAAATGTTTCCCGCTGCAGCTGATAAATCTTTTATGCATTCATTTTTTGCTATTTCGAATGACTATGTGTGTCTGTGTGTGTG